AAACATTAAAGTATATTTAATCAAATCTCCACAATAGCTGTCATGATGTCTAAGGTAAAAACGGGAAACACGAGGACGGAAGGCTTGGAAAATCTGGGAAACACTACATATTGAAGTCAGTAAAGGCAATTGGAAAACAAAGTAACAAGCTTAGGTAAATGGATGAGAGAACAAAGACTGGGTGATACCAAGGGGGTAAATATTGTTTACATTTACAAAAAATAGGAAGTTGTGGAGAGTCATGATCATTTACATTAAAAAAAAAAATAAAGCTGGATTCGTTTTGAAATATGTTTTGGCTTCTTCAAAGACCGCCGCTTTTGTTTTACTTTTTTTTTTCTTCTTTTTTTTTTTTTGCCCCTCATCTCGACAATAGCAGATAAGAAACAAAACGGTACGAAGCTTACGTAGAAGGCTAGAATGCCAAAACCTGTCAAATGACTTTGAGATATCTACAGCCACAGTACAAGCTTCGTTGTTATTATCAAGAGATTGGTATATATATATATATATATATATATATATATAGAGAGAGAGAGAGACTATAGCAGATAAGAAACAAAACGGTACGATATTTACCGGTGGACAAGTTGCACTACGTTGTATTACGTTGCAACTAAATTCATTAAAAAAGAACAAAACAGAAATGTGACTTTGTGTGTTCGTGAATTTGGTGGCATACTGTGACTTTTCTTTCCAGAGAAAGTAACAATCACAGGAAAACGTTCTGAATTATTTCAATATTTGATGAGAGAGAGAGAGAGAGAGCAAGATTTCAATTTTTTTTTTATTTTATATTTAATTATATATATATATATATATATATATATATATATATATATATATATATATATATATATTTAGGCAGCAATCCTTCCTTTATGCATGTTTCATTAAAAACGACAGACAAGGTACTACGGTTGTGCTTTTTATTTAATTTTTCTTGTGTTCTGACAAGAGCTTTCTTTTCTGGACAAAGAGTGTGTAAGAACTGTCCGAATGTTCTGTGTTTCCAAGCGCTTTCGGCTATACCTTTAGCCATTATCAAGGAAGATTCAATTATCAGCTTAGTAGTGTGTGTTCTGTGTATGTTCAGTGTGTGGTAGTGATGTTTTTAGTTTCCGAATACGGTTAGCACATTGTGGCTTTGTTCATAGTTAATATTGTTAAGAGTTGGCTTTTCTTTTTTTTATTAGAGCTTCCATTATTTTTAGTCTTTTTTTTTGCAAGTGGATGCAGTTAATATATTAGTGTTTTCTACTAGTATGTTCCTAATAGTGTCAGGTAAATCTGAGTGTGTGTTTAAATGTGTTCTGATGGAACTGTGATCAGATAGGTGTAATGTAAGACGTCTGGATAAACATGTGGTTGTGTAGCCGATGTAATTATTTATGAGTCCGGTTTGGTGAGGAACGCAGTTCCTTAAAAGGCATTGAACTCATAGATAATGTTCGTTCTTTGTAATTTTGACTTCGTTGGTGTGTTGTTATTTTTGAGGATAAGGTTGGCCGTCTTAAATTTTTTATAATAGATAATAAGTTTGATTTTTTTTATTCGGATCAATAGGAGTAGAATATTTCTTTATAATATGTCTTAGAGAAGATTCATCTTGTTTGTAATTAATATGCATTTGGTTTTTGTAATAAATGTGTATGTGATTTTTAGTTGTGTGTTCGCTATTGTTATTACTTGCTTTGGGGAGGAATAGTCTAATTTGTTGGTCTATAAGGTAGTTAGGGAAACCGTTGTTACTTAGTGTTGGTTTAACGTTGTTAAGTTCTTTGAGAAAGAGTAGTAATATATATATATATATATATATATATATATATATATATATATAATGCTTCTTAATTAAACAATAATAATATTCGATAATTTTTTAAAAACATTAAAGATTATTTAATCACATCTCCCTAATAGCTGTCACGGTCTGTTAATCAATTCAATTAGAAATCGTACTTTTCTAATTTCAACGTTTGATTCTGTGGAAGGGTCTTGTAATGCATGATGCTCTTCCCGTCCCACCAAATGCACAACATTCCATTCTTTGTATGCAGACAGGCTTTTGGTTTTGGTTAACCATGGCTCATTTCGTTCTTTTCAGGATCTTTCCCGCTACAAATTGTTGAATTAATTGCTAGGTCTGCTGTGAAGGTTGCTTCAGTGTTGTGGCATCTCCCTAATATCTGTCAGGATCTGTAAAATAAAGACGGAAACACACATTACATTCAAAAAGACTGGATTTATATTGAAAATGTTTTGTCTTTAAAGACAACCGCGTTTGTTTTACGTTTGTTTTGTTTTATTTTTTTTTAATTTTTTGTTGTTGCTTTTGTTTTGCCCCTCACCTCGACAATAACAGATAAGAAACAAAACGTTACGAAGCTTATGTAGAAGACCAGAATGCCAAACCCTGTCAAATGACTTTGAGATATCTAGAGTCACAGTACAAGTTTCGCTGTTTTTATCAAGACATTGGTATATATATTTATCTCGACTATAGCAGATAAGAAACAAAACGGGGTTAGCTGGCTGGTATTCATACCAGCCAATCGGATTGCTTCTTACATTTCTTGCACATCTGGGGCTTTCAATGGTGTCTAATACGATAGCTTGCTGTGTTCTGTGATTTACATCTATTTTTTTTTTATGATGGACTTGTAAAAGGGCTCGGTCTTCTTGGCACTGCAACTTCAAATGAGGCTCTGACTCCGAAGGAAAATGACGAAGAGAGAGCTGAAATGTCTGAGACGCATAATGAGGACGGAAGGCTTGGAAAATCTAGGACACACTACATATTGAAGTCAATATGGGCAATTGGAAAACAAAGTAACAAGCTTAGGTAAATGGATGGGAGAACAAAGACTGGGTGATACCAAGGGGGTAAATATTGCTTACATTTACAAAAAATAGGAAGTTGTGGAGAGTCATGATCATCCCCGTCCTGAAGGGACATGATATATAGAAGACTGAAATCAAAAGGGGTAGAAGGAAGCAGCGAGTAAGCTTTCCAACGAACTTGCTCAAATGGATGACAGGAGAGGGACTGGGGGGGGGATGTACGAAGAGGATAAATATTGTTCAGATTTACAAATAATAGGAAGTTGTGGAGAGCCATGATCCCTTTACGCCATGAAGGAACCGAGTAAACAACGGAAGAGAACTAATTGGATGCTTTGGATAAAACGACTTGAACACTTCTTTATGTGGCTCATCCACTCAGGAATTATGCAATCATAGCTCTCCATATCTTCCTGTCCCTTGCAGCTCTTAATAAATTTTGTCCCACCAAGCCATTATCATTTATTTGAAAGGGGAATTAATTAAATCAGCATCTCCGATATTGTTGAATGGGAGATTAAGCAATGGAGACATTTCGCTATTCAAGCCAAGAGGGGGTCAGGAGTTATGGCCTTGATGATAAGCGTACCACACCCACATCAAAAAGTGCATGTGATGGCTATCTTCCAAGTCTCGGTGCCTCTGGGTGGGGAAGTTGAGTGGAATGCTTTCGAAACTACCTCAACTACTAAGAAGGCATTAACTACTTAGCAGAGATATTTGTTAAGTTTGTGGGGAGTGGAAGATTGTATTGCGCCGAGTATGAAAGAGTAAAGCTTTTTTTTGCATGATTTTAGCGTTCTAAATCTTTTATTATATTACTCGTAACGAATATTACTGCATAAGTGAGGTACTCAATGTACTTAACAAACAGTAGAATATGAAGATAGATAAACAGATCGATAGGCAAACTAAGATAGATAGATAGATAGATAGATAGATAGATAGATAGATAGATAGATAGATAGATAGATAGATATGAACAGGATGAGATAGATAGATAGATAGATAGATAGATAAAGAAAGAAAGAAATAATGAAATAGATACAGACGGAAAGAGGCGTTAATATAAACATAGATAGATAGATAGATAGATAGATAGATAGATAGACAAAGAAAGAAATAATGAAATAGATACAGACAGACAGAGAGAAAGAGATGTTAATATAAACATAGATAGATTTGAACAAACTTAGACAGAATGAATAGAAAAACGATATTGATAGATAAAACGATATTGATAGATATATATAGAGAGATTAACATATAAAGAATTAGATAGATAGATAGATAGATAGATAGATAGATAGATAGATAGATAGATAGATATTTTAAACTGAAAGGAAGTAATATTTCTTTCAAATCAGATTAATCAAACTTTAACTAATCTTCCTAAAATAATCATTCAGAAAAGTATACTTCATTTTTGAAAGATTTTTATTCCATAATTATGTTGACAGATTTGTTAATATGAATTTTACCATTTTTACTGATAATAATATATATATATATATATGCGTGTGTGTGTGTTCAAATCTATCTCTCCATCGTTATCTTCCGGACAATTGGTTGCCTATAAAATAGATACATAGATACATACATTAATGCATACATGCAGACTGTGATAGATGGATAGATGTTGATTGCGACATCTTGTCAGACGATTGCCACGCATTGATTGAGCGTCCATGAGTCCGTTGATGGCTTCTCAGTCCTGTCAGCGACTTGCGCATCTTGAAGCAGATTTGGCACTCAAAACCATGGGCGTTTGTTGAGACGACAGACACGATGCTGGCATCATTGTGAACTTTCGTATGACCTTTGAGATCACTTACATACATACATACAAACTGTGATAGATAGATAGATAGATAGATAGATAGATAGATAGATAGATAGATAGATAGATCATTGTTCTCCCAGACTATTTGTTCTTTATCTTGTCCTTCGGATTCCGATCCATATTTGATCTGCATTTGATCTTGTACTCATACATACGTACATACGAACGGACTGAAACAGATATATAATAAGCAGGCTGTGATAGATTGCTAGAGAGATAGATTAAAAACAAACTTAGATGGAAAGAGACCGTGAAAGAAATAATGAAATATATACAGAGAGAGAGAGAGAGAGAGGGTGTGAGAGAGAAAAGAAGGTTAATATGAACATAGATAGATAGATAGATAGATAGATAGATAGATAGATAGATAGATTACGAACAGACTTAGATAGAAAGAGACCGAGAAAGAAATAATGAAATAGATACAGAGAGAGAGAGAGAGAGAGGGTGTGAGAGAGAAAGAAAGGTTAATATAAACATAGATAGATTATGAACAAACTAAGATAGATAGATAGACAGATAGATAGATAGATAGATAATGAACAAACTAAGATAGATAGATAGATAGATAGATTACGAACAAACTTAGATAGAAAGACGCCGAGAAAGAAATCATGAAATAGACACAGAGAGAGAGAGAGAGAGAGAGAGAGAGGGGGGTGAGAGAGAAAGGAAGATTGATATAAACATAGATAGATAGATAAATTATGAACAATAGATAGATTATGAACAAACTTAGATATATCGATCGATCTATAGATAGATAGATAGATAGATAGATAGAAAGAAAGAAAGAGGCTGAGAAAGAAGTAATGAAATAGATACAGAGAGAGAGAGAAAGAACAGAGAATAAACAGAACGTCTACTCAAATACGAGTATCCACTAAAAATAACGTTTAAGAAATAAAAATCAGTCAAATTAATAAATAAAAAATCCATCCCTTTCTTTAGAAATTGCTTTGTTTACGTTTGCTACGAATCTAAGCAGATAGTTTAATAATCATGAGTCAGAGAAAAGTCTGTGTTTAAAGGCACTATGCATCTTTGCTTGACTATTGACACACTCTGTCACCGAGAGGTGAAAGCACGCCAGATCTAAAGACGATTTCTCCTGAAGGAACGCAGGTTCAAGTCTTGCCGGAGAGCGCATCATATTTTTCTCGAATGTGATTTCTTGAATATTCAAGACGGTAGATGAAAATAAAAATACTTTTTAACCATTATCACTATTCTGTATGTGACTTCATTTGCTGTACAAGAAGTTTGCTGTTCCACTGAAGGTGTCTGATCCCTGAAGAATAGTGTTTGAATTTTAAAGTTGTGTTGTCGTGTCCCGCTATGGCAACACAAAACAACTATGAGTGAAAATAACAGTAAGGATACTGCATTTGAGAGTCCTTGAAAAAAAATGAATTGGGAAATAATATTAATAATGCAGAGTGATAAAGGTTAATAAATAAACTGAATGTCTATTCAAATACAAATAGCCACTAGCAATTATATTTAAGTAATAAAAATCTGTTAGATTCATAAATAAAAAAAAACATTCCTTTTATTGCATACATATTTTAGATATATCAGCTGGTAAATGTAATTAATACTGTTTATTATAAACAAAGCATTTACTTAAATATTTATATCTATAAAAATAATGTATACCCAGAAAATATATATGTCTTGAACAACAACAAAAAAAAATGCTAAAAAATTAAAATTTCAGACACATTGGTTTGCATATTAATATTTTGTTTTATTATTTAAATTAGGTTCCTTGACTAGTTTTGGCCAGCATGGCAATCATCAGGAGAAAAAGTTTCTTCTTGTTAGTAGCAGTGAACTACAGAGATTCATAACTGTTTTTGAAAAACTATGTTATTTTTAGTGGATACTCATATTTGAGTAGACATGTCGTTTATTTATTGAACATTATATTTATTTTCGTCTACCAGCCTGAGGCCTGAATATTTGAGAAATTTAAGTTTAAGTAATAGAAATATGTTGGATTATCAAATAAAAAAATCCATTCCTTTCTTTAGAAATTGTTTTGTTTACGTTAGTATATGAAAGTGAACAGATATGTCTATTGAAAGAGTCAGAGAAAAGTGTGTATTAAAAGGCACTATTCAACTTTGCTTGACCATTGACATGGTCCGGGGCCGAGAGATTCAAAATACAACAGTTCTGGGGAATGTTCGTACCCTGTCATAAATCAACATAGTTTTTATCTAAGATTTCTCGGATATTCAGGCCGCTAAACGAAACGAAAAAAAATATGCTGTTTAATAAATAAACGGAGCGTTTAAGTTATAGAATCTGTCGGCTTAATAAATAAAAAAATTCATCTCCTTTTCCTTAATTTGTAAAGAGATGGATTTTGTTATTTTATATATATATATATATATATATATATATATATATTTGTGTATTTAGGCAGCAATCCTTCGTTCATGCACATTTCATTGAATACGACAGACAACGTGCTTTTATTTAATTTTTTATATCATTTCTCATGCGTTCTAATAATTTTTTTCTTTTCAGAAGATAAAATATATAAAAACTGTCCTAATGTTCTTTTTATCCGAACGCTTTCGGCTATACATTTAGCTATTTTTAAGGATTAAATATTTTAACTGTTAAATAAGAAATAGTTTGTTGCATGTATGTTTTATAAAATGTTTTCATTTTTCAAAATACAGTCAAGATAAAGTGCCCATGTTCAAAGTTAATATTAAGTGTTTTTTTTGTTTTGTTTTTATTAATAAGGCTTCCATTATTGTTAGCCTTTTTTTTTTTTTGCATGTAGATGATGCTATTATATTAGTGTTGTCAACAAGTATGTTACGAATAGTGTCTGGTAGGTTTCCACGAATATTTAAATAAGATCTAATTGAGCTATAGTCAGAAAGGTGTAGAGTTAGTCTGCGTGTCAAACATGTTGCAGTGTGGCCTATATAATTATTTACAAATTTTGATTCATCAATAATAATTCACCTCTTAGAACGAAATTATATAGGACAATTATTATTTACAAATTTAAATGCCCATTAAGGAATTATATATATATATATATATATATATATATATATATATATATATATAAAAATATTAAAAAGAAGAGAGGTGCCGCAAACGTTTTTGGTTGTAATGTGGATTTATTTAGAAAAATATTATGCTTTTGTTTTACAAATCCACATTACAACCAAAAAACGTTTGCGGCACCTCTCTTTTTTTAATATACATACTTTTCTCTCGTTGGAACCACTACAACATATTTCTTTTATATATATATATATATATATATATATATATGTTTACAATTCCTTAATGGGCATTAATAATAGCAATTACGATTACATGTTGCTCTGTTTGGTTAAGACGTTGAGCTCTCTGTGTGAATTAGTTTTACTATTTAATATTTTATATTTTATATTGTATTAATAGTATTCAATTGGATTATATATCAACGGATTATTACCAGTATATATATATATATATATATATATATATATATATATATATATATATATATATATATATATATAAATGAACATTGAAGTCAACACTTAGAGGCGACAGGCTGTTTCATGCTAGGCGCAATCGTCAGGCCGCCCAGTCAAGCATGAAAAACAGCCTGTCGCCTCTGAGTGCTGACTTCAATGTTCACTTATATATTTAAAATAAATAGACAAAACGTGTCTATATTATTTAATGAAATTTGCATCAATGAAAAATTGCTGCCTAAATATACACAATATATACACATATATATATATATATATATATATATATATATATATATATATATACATTCACTTTTATCTTTCGAACGCTCGTTCTTCCATGAGGTTGGTGTTGCTTTTCAAATTTCAGTCTCTCTTCGTAATTAATCTCTGCAAGAACACGAAATCTTCCTTAACCTCAAAAATGTCTTAGTACATCCCCCCCTATTTTTTTTCTCTTTTAATTTCTTCCTGCCGGTAGCAATTCTTTCTTCTGACTTGCACTGATCCCCTCCAAATTCGCCACTTCTTCAACTCGCCAACGCTGCTGCTTCCTTCCTCTGTTAAATCTTTTTGTTCTTGTCCATCGTGATGAAATGTACTCCCTTCTTCCGCCCGCCGGCTTTTTGTACTGGCCATTATGCGGGGGAGGTGGGGAATGAGCGGCTCGGTGGAGAATAACCCCAACAGTACCAACATTACCATTATATCGTTGTGGTTCCCTCCTGTTGATATCAGTTTATCTTTGCTTATCTCAGTACACAGAAATGTGGTAAGCATCTGCGTGTGTAAGAAACGACAAACCGTATCAGTTTGTGCAAGAATTTCATTATATTTCCGTCGTTGGAGGGCATTCCTTCCTGAAATAGCTTCATTCAAAAAGATCACTTTTGATTCAGTTGGGGCCGCCGTCCTTTCAACGTCATTCATAATAGGCTTAGTAAAAAAAAATTAGTTCTATTTTTGAACGGTAGATGGTGTTTATGGCGTTTTAGTTTGAAATAGTTCCATTCAAGAAGATCGATTTTGATTCTGTAACAAACAATAAATTTATATTCATACTCCTCCCTAAACTATTGAACAGGAGAAGACGTTTGTCACCTGTTTAGGATTGGGTTTCCGGTCCCTTCAGACGTCTATTTCAAGTCTATACTTTGACGTCTTCAACTACAGTCTGAAATTGTATTTTTTCCTCAGTAGATGTAGATAGGTTCACCTAACGTCCGGTTCAGACTCCTCCACTTTCTTTTGAACAGAAGTATAGTTTTATCCCTTGTTTCCTGTTTAGGATTGGGTTTCCGGTTCCTTCTAAAGTTTAAATCAACTCTAGATTTCTGACGTCTCCGACTAAACTCTAAAATTGTATTTATTTTTTTTTTTTTCCTCGGTAGATGTAGATAGGTTTATCTATCGCCCGGTTCACACTTCTCTCCTGTCTTTTGAACAGGAGAAAAGTTTTACTCTTTGTTCGCTGTTTACGATTGGGTTTCTGGTCCCTTCTAAAACCTCGCTTCAATTCTAGACTTCTGACGTCTCCGCCTAAACTCTGCTATTTTATTTACTATTTAATTTTTGATTTTTGTATTCTATCTTCAATAGGAGTAGATAGATTTGCCTATCATTCGATTCAAACTCCTCCCTGCTCTCTTGAACATGCATAGAGGTGTATCTATCCCTTGTTTCATCTCATTCTCTTTCACCCCAATAGCCTCTTATCTCTTAGTGGCATTATCACCTTGCTCGGGGTAAACTGATTAAAAAATAAAATATTAATTCTATTTTTAATAATTACATATAGGAAAGATTTTATTAAAATGAAATCTTAAAGGACGAAACAAGACCACATATAATTTTTCCCACTATGTCATTAAGTTTCCTAACATTACTTTGATATTTAAAAATGTGTTTGTCTATATTTCTGAGATGAGGTATTGTAACTATTTACACTATTTAAATTTTTCGGACTGTTGTCCACATCTTTGCTGTCATATCCACGATGTTTCGGTCGTTGTACCATCTGGCCTTCGTCAGGTGATATTTATTGAAATTTCGAAGCAAACCCTTTATTTAGTCCTCGAGAGTAGATTGTTCTAATTCTACGTCTCTTTTGGATATTTCATTTTTAGTTAATTCACTTTGATAAGTTTTTGTCCTCTCGGCTTAGGCCATGGATTACACTCACAGCTCTTTAGCTCAGTAGATAAATGCGATGGTTGATAGATCCTAAAACTGACTTGACCCAAAGAGCGTAAATAATAAAAATTTATTTTTCGTATTCTCCCAGGAATCATTATTATTTAAAACCGCTACGAATCGCTGCTATAAATGGGTGAAAAAGAGATGGGCATGTCATGTGCTATCTGTTGAGTTCGGGTGCCGTGGATTATTTAGACAGTCAATTGTTTCCTTCCTTTTGAAGATGGGCATTACTGGTCGGAGCCTGAAGCGTGCTTCACGTCGTACGGAGACCACAGTTCAACAGTCATCGTGTTGGATCTGGCTAAGATCTAATATAAACAAAGTTAACTAAAACCATGCTCGCAACAAAAGGCTACTTCCGACGTGAAATACATCTGTTTATCTTCCATCATCGATAAAGGTCGCTACGAGCGCGTTGTGTATTGATTAACGATTAAAAGCAAGTGCTTTTGACACAACGTTGAAAATATGTCATGCAGTTACAATAAAACAAAACAAAAAAAATACCTTGTCCGGTGGCAAAAGCTGGTGGTGGCTCCAGGGGTGGCAGTACCGCCTTAGTAACTGAAACTGTGTTATCTCCCCTGGTTGGCGGTTGACGACAGCAGGGTATCGTACGTGCTTTCATGCGTTGTATGTAGAAAATAGATAATTGTGAAAAATACGAAAATACAAAAAGACATAAAAAAGGATTTAACCGGTTATCGCTCCTCATGCTTCAGAACTCGATCGACGAAAGCAAAATATTTTGTGTACAACGGAGTGAAAAATGAACATCGTCACATTAATAAACTGAGTCAATAATATACTGAAAATGGACTATTTTACAGACAAACCACTATGCCTTCTCTACATCCAGGGATGTTTGTAGTAGCTTTGAAAAAAGTAATGGATTTTTATTTTATTAATCTATTTTTATCATTTTAAACGTTATTTTTTAATAGATATCCATATTTGAGTAGACGTTCTTCTTATTTTTTTAAACAGTATGTTAATTTTCGTCGACCGGTCTAAATATTGAAGAGATCTCTTTAAAGAAAAAAAAAATGCACCCTCCAGCAGACTCCGAACCTATGCGCTGCCCCCTTTGCAATAGAAACAGTCATTATATCAAACGCACTTTTAACCGAGCGCCTTCGATTAAACGAGGTTCTACACTGCCTTTTAAATTCCAATTCCCTTGTTCCGATTCCTGAAAGTCCATAGGTGCCCAGTTTCGTATTCGAAACATAAATGCCCAGTTCCGTATCCGAAAAAAAAGCTCAGTTTCGTATCCGAAACATAAGGGTAAGACTACTTCCACAAGGCACTTAATGTAGGCCTCCGTGTTGACTCTTAAATGTTCGTATTGGAGTTTCCGGCGCGAATGCCAAGCAGTACAGCATGCCGTCTCCAAATTTTTGACGGAGTGAATTGCGTCATGGTACATTATATTTTTTTTTCTTTTTTTTTTACAAAAATGACACAAAAATATCTTGAAATACCAAAGGGTAACTTATTCAATAAAATCGCTATTGTCTCCAACCACTGCCACCTGAATACTTTGGAATCTCCTACAACTTTTCTGGAGGGCCTCCTTGTTGAAACATTTGGTGAATGCTGCCATAATCCTTGCCTTGAGTCCATCTTTGGTGCTACAAAGAGTTTTGTTGGTCTCTCGCTCAACTGCGCCCCACACATAATAATCAAGAGGGTTGCAGTCTGGGGAGTTAGGTGACCAGATGTAAGATGGTGATGTGGCCGCAGAAATTGTCTGACAGCCATGTCTGGCTTCTCCTGCTTATGTGGTATGGTGTAGATTCCTTTTGGCAGACATAGGGTCGTCCATTTGCCACCCTCTTGACCCAGGGTAGCACTACCTCCTCAAGGTACTTGATGTAGTCATCCTTGTTGTTTCTGAGGCTCTCACCAATAAATTCAGGAGTTTTTTTTTCTTATCAGTGTGTTTTCCGAGCTGTCATACAGTCATAATCACCATTAAAATCATCCAACTCTTTCCAAATCCACTGCACTGGCCGCAGATTGAAAGCCAAACAATCTGAAATGTTCGTATTGGAGCTTCCGGCGCAAATGCCAAGTAGTGTAGCATGTCGTTCCCAAATTTCGGGCGGAGTGAATTCCGTTATGGTGCTCTTTTTCTCACAGAGGGTGTCCAAATGATTCTACTATACTGTGCCGTCGGCAAAATCAAAAATAAAAAACGCGCATGCGTGGAATTAAAAATATAAAATGGCAACAATATACCTTTTATATTTCAAAGTGTACCGCCCACACAATTAATGATTTCAGGTTACAATTTGTTACGTTTTTAAAGTTTATTCAAAATTTCTCAATGTCAGAAACATTTTTTTGTATGTCCTTTAATTTTAATGTCGGAACTCCACGCCATTTTATAAAAGGTTTACGAAATGCCTTTGAATGTTCAGATAGATTTGCCGTTCGTGTCAAATGTAGCAAAAACAACAAAAGATTAAAACTTCACGACCCCCCACCACACACATAAGTTACGGGTGCAACTGCAACCACCATATTTCATTCCTTTCCTTTAGTTCTCTGAAAATATCTGGATAAATTTCATCTTCATCGTTTAATTATCGTCAGCCATTTTCAGAATCAACGACCAGCTTAAAAAGACAAGATAGGATTATCTGGCCAGGATTAGGGGATTATTTAGACCAGGGATCACCAAACCTTTTTCAGAATAACCAAAAAGTTATCAAACAAGACGACGTTGGCGATAAAATCTCACAAACTAAGCAGCAATTTATGAAACTGGCGTTTACCTTTTAAGATAGAATCAATATTTGCTTTGGAATTGCTGCCCCCAACCAAGATAATTGGTTCATTATTCAATATCTATCTATCTATCTATCTATCTATCGATCTATCTATCTATCTATCTATCTATATATATATATATATATATATATATATATATATATATGGGGCGGGGTCTATGGTCCGTGTTTCTGTGTTACAGATTCCCAGAACACTAAAACATCGAACTCATCAAGGCAAGTCTCAAATATTATCTGTCCTCCCTATCCTACTATTATTTTACTTCCTATGACATTCTTTGTCATATCGCGCATCTCATTCATCAAAACATTTAAACAATACCCATCTATCTTGGGTCACTCTCGAGTCTTATCGAAGGTAAGGCTCACAGCTAAGAATTCGAAATTCATAGAAAACTGTGTGGAATAAGACCAAAATTAATCCATCGTAAAAGATCCCTTTTTCACCGTGATACTGCTCGGGTGCACATTGCATAAATATAACTGGTAAATCTCATTGTATCAGGTTTCCTCTATATTTATCAAGCATGTTATTTGGATATCGATCTGCACTTTTTTTTTCAAGCATTTAGACAACCCTTCAAAATACAAGTGGTTCTCTAAGATGGAAGATACAGAAAATGCCTTCAAGGAAATTATAGTGTCTAGAGTTTACGAATTCCGCGCGAAAGGCAGCTTAAAATTATTAAAGATGTAGAGACGTAAGTGGTTGCTATTTCAATAGCTAATCTTCTTCTTCTTCTTCTTCTTCTTCTTCTTCTTCTTCTTCTTCTTCTCCCACCATTCCTCTTCTTCTTCTTCTTCTTCTTCTTCTTCTTCTTCTTCTCCCACCATTCCTCTTCTTCTTCTTCTTCCTCTTCTTCTTCTTCATCGTCTTCTTTTTTCGTCTTCTTCTTCGTCCTCTTCTTTTCTTCGTCATCTTCTTCTTCTTCGTTGTCATCGTCGTCGTTATTATCCTCTTCTTCTTTTTGGCCCTCGTCTTCTTCTTCTTTTTCTTCTTCTTCTTCGTCTTCTACGTTGTTTTCGTCTTCTTCGTCTTCGTCGTCGTTATTATCAACATCTTTTTCGTCCTCTTTTTCTTCTTCTTCTTCTTTTCCTTCTTCTTCGTTGTCGTCGTCGTCTTCTTTATTGTCATTGTCTTCCTTTTCTTCGCCTTCTTCTTCGTCTTCATCTCCATCTTCATCTTTTTCTCCGTCGTCTTCTTTTTCTTCGTCTTTTTCTTCATCTTTTTTGTGCTAATAAATGTAAATAAATTTATTATACTAAGATTTCAGTTTATAGATAGGCAGATTAAAGATAGTTAAGAACAGACTGCGATAGATAGATACATAGATAGATAGATATGAAGAGACTGAGATAGATAAATAAATAGATATGAACAGAGATAGATAGATAGATAGATAGATAGATAGATAGATAGATAGATAGATAGATAGATAGATATGAACAGACTGAGATAGATAGATATGAACAGAGATAGATAGATAGATAGATAGATAGATAGATAGATAGATATGAACAGACTGAGATAGATAGATAGATAGATAGATAGATAGATAGATAGATAGATAGATAGATATGAACAGACTGAGATAGATAGATAGATAGATAGATAGATAGATAGATAGATAGATAGATAGATAGATAAAATCCATTACTTCTTAGAAATTGCTTTGTTTACGTTTCGGATACGAAACTGAGCAATTATGAAATTTCGAGAATGGAAACGGAAAGGATGTACTGAAAGGGGGAGTATACAAGCTGGCTTAGCCGACGACGCTTTTCGTGACCGAGTTGGTGAAAAGCGTTCCCGATTTAGTAACGGTTTCTGCCGCAAAGGGGATGCACGTTAGAATCCTGGTGGCTAGATCACACACACACACACACACACACACACACATATATATATATATATATATATATATATAAAGGTTAATGGTCAGAGTTGAATCACACCAGAGAGAGTAGCATTAAAAAGTGCTCAATAAACGTGAGAAAAAATATATAAATATTATGGTAATTTACCCACGCACGCATGGACTTTCCCAGCTATAAATAGGAGCAGGTACTGCCTTTTGGAGGGTGAAGTTTCCAGCAGTCAGCTCTGACAGTCGAACCGAACATTCTTGCTGTAACACTTTCGTTTGTATATGTTTGTATTACTGTTTCTGTTAATATATTTGTTTAAATTCCTCTCTTGTGTTTTTATTTCTGGCCCAAACCAGACCACAACAATAAGAGAAAAAAACCATGTAGAGTTTTAATATTAAAAATCAGGATGTAAATTAAAATACGTGACCTTGGTTTCAACCTGACGGTGTCTTCGGGCGATCCTTTTAAAATGACCACTTTAATGCTTTATTTTTTTTAAAAAAAGTACAAATAGCGTTACATAATTATATTTAAAAAAAAAATAGCATGATGTTTGAACGACAGGACATTGAGTGTAATGGAAAGGAAGGGGAAAAGAAGCGTGAAGAAAAGAAAATTTCCGTTTGAATATTATAAAATAGTGCCAATGTATTGATGCCAGTGTATAAGAAATTAACAAATGCAATATATTAAATGTTCTTATTAATAATAATGGTTAATGATAACAGACAGTCTTAATAAAGTAGAGTTGCTAAAACATTTTTAAAAAATAAAATGTATACTTGGACAAGTATGTATTTTAAAAGGATAAAGATTATACATACATAACAAGCACTACAATATAATAAAGGAAGAAAATATATATATTTATAAAACATATATATATATATATATATATATATATATAAGTGAACATAGATGTCAACACTTAGAGGCGACAGTCTGTTTCATGCTAGATGCAATCGTCAGGCTACTGTTTCAAAGGATACAAAGAGAACCAATCATTCAGACAAGGGGTGGTAGCGTCTACCTGTATCCTTGGAAACAGTTGAATTATGAATTTTTCTGTGGCTTTAAAACTCAGTAAATTTAAAAAATAAGTTATTCCAAAAATCGACTTATGTTTTTAATTTAATTACAAAATTAAATTTGAAGCTTTTAGCTTCCATTTTTGTAACATGGTTATTAATGTGTAGCGAAGAACCCATATTTTAAACTAGTTAATTTGTAATATATATATATATATATATATATATATATATATATATATATATATATATATATATATGTGTGTGTGTGTGTGTGGGTGTATTTTGAACAATAAGAAAATAAAAATAAAAAATTAAAATCTTTATACACACTGGGTTGTAGATTAATATTCTTTCGTTTTTTTTTTTTTTTTTTTCGTTTTTTATTATTATTCCATTTAGATTCCTCGACTAGTTTCTACCGAAATGGCCATCATCGGGAGGAGAAATATTTCTGCTTGCTGGTAGATATCTATCTATCTATCTATCTATCTATCTATCTATATATATATATATATATATATATATATATATATATATATATATATATACACAGACGGATGTACGGTGGAGTAGTGGATAGCGGCTTATTGAGGAATCGGAGAGCTGAGTTCGAATTCCAGTCGAATCCATTACATTCACTTACGAGCTAATACCCTTGGGAAAGGTATTAATCCCATTCTTTTCGTTTCTCCCCAGCTATGGGTAAATAATAGGACATACCGAGTTCGATAGTCTTGAATGGCAATTGGTCTACCGCAGAAAGAAATGGGAACCTACCGCGAGAGACAATCTGCCTCGTCAGTCATGTATCGAAATATACATGATCGCCTAAACGTGTAACACTCATGGTACATAACTGACTGACCCTTGGCAAAGGTATTAATCCTCTGCTTCTTTTCCCTCCAGCTATGGATAAATAGCAGGACAGACCAGGTTTTATAGCCTTGGATGGTAACTGGTCTAGGATAAGGACAACTCTGAATTCAAAACCTGTGGAGGGTCGTTTGGGGATCTTGTGGCACGTACTGCACCAGGTCTCTGTATTCAGCCCTTCAAAAAGTGTGGTTGGTTATGCCCAAAACCTTCACCAATATAATCAAATCATATGTACTGGTTAATGGGGTGTCGTTTCCTAGGAACCGATCTGCTTGACCCTCATACGTCGAATATGTCAGGAAAACCCCCAATATTAATATATATATATATATATATATATATATATATATATATATATATATTATTTATTTAAAATATGATTCCAACTCGCGACATAAGAAGTCTCATGTTTCAAAACAAGAGCCGAAAACTTCAATATAATTATTTGAATTAAATTGAGTTAAAGTAAGCTCTGTTCCATCTTCAAGAGAATTTTTTTCCAAAATACTAAGGAACTTTGGATTATTTACCTAACCAGTTCCTTCCTATTTTCTATATATTTTCAAATATATATATATATATATATATATATATATATATATATATATAGATAGATAGATAGATAGATAGATAGATAGATAGATAGATAGATGCATATTTCATTGAAAACGACAGACAAGGTGCTTTTATTTAGATTTTTATACAATTTCTCATGCGATCTAATAATTTTTTTCTATTCGGCTGATAAATTATATAAAACCTGTCCGAATGTTCTTTTTATCCGATCACTTTCGGCTCTACATTTAGCCATTTTCAAGAATTATATTTTAACTGTTAAAATTAGAAATAGTTTGTTGTATGTATGTTTTCATTTTTTTTTTGTTTCAAAACACGGTCAAGATATTATGTCCGTGTTCAATGTTAATATTATTAAGTGTTGGTTTGTTTGTTTTTATTAATAAAGCTCCATTATGTTTAGCCCTTTTTTGCATATAGATGATGCTATTATATTAGTGATGTCGAGTATGCTCCGAATAGTGTCCGGTAGATCTCCATGAACATTTAAGATGTAATTGAACTATTGTCAGAAATGTGTAGAGTGAGTCTGCGTGTCAAACATGTTGTAGTGTGGCCTATATAATTATTTACGAATTTTGATTGATCAGGAATACAATTCCTTAATGGGCATTTAAAATATATATATATATATATATATATATATATATATATATATATATATATTGAAATGAGGGAAAGAACAGATGCACAAAATTTTTTGTTTTAATACTATGATTGTATTTCTTCGGGCGATGGACAGTAAATGAAAACCGGTAACACTTTGTTTTCAAATTTCCTTTAAAAGACATTTAATCACCAGGTACCATCTCCTGAAGAAGTACAATCATAGTATTGAAACATGAAATTTTTTGTCAAGCAATTTCAAAATGTTTTTATTATAACTGCTTACAATATATATATATATATATATATATATATATATATATATATATATATTTTCATTCAAGCAGGTTCGGTTCAATAGTTTAGACGTATTATGTCTATTTATTTTAGTTTGCAATCCTTTGAAGTTCACGAATTGATTTCTTGGTGGCTGTAGAAAATTATTCAAGAAAAGTACCAAAATTTTCTTTCAAATAATTTTTATTTTACCAAGTACTTTCATTCTCATCTGGGACCCTCTTCGTGGGGTTCAAATATCTGTGGCATACAGTAGCTCTGCACATTCAAAATATTTTTTACCGTTCGTTTAACAACATTTTGCAGTGTTCTAGTGTCAAATTCAAATTTAATGTGTTCCCTTTATGCAAGGAAGGTAACTTTCGTATTTTTTTGTAATAAATAAAACGATATTTTAATTTAGTATTTTTTTAATAAAAATTTGCTGCAACAAACATTTATGAACTTTTTTTGCTATACCCATAGTTGACATTTTAAAGTTTTTTGCTTATTGCTATTTTGATGAAGTACTGATGTATTTTCAACTTATATCTCTCTAAATTGTCAATGTGAACATGAGTTCTCCTTTAAATGTTCTGAGATTGAACTATAATCGTGGATTTGAAAGGTTAAAACCAAAATGAATAGATATAATACGTATATATATATATATATATATATATATATATATATATATATATATATATATATATATATTTAAATAAAAACAGACCACTTTAAGGTTCCATGTAATAAATTATTTCACCACAGCCATTTGGAAATTTTTTGTTTGGAAGTAAAGTCTGGTGATCCGCAGTCTTTTTATTTAAATTATTTGCTCTGAATTTACATTGAGCACTCTGGATTTTATCCTCCTTAGGTTTACCCATGCGGATTACCTAGTTTGTCATAAACTATATATATATATATATATATATATATATATATATATATATATATATATATATATATATAAAAGTGAACATTGAAGTCAACACCCAGAGGCGACTACAGTGACCACAGTGACTTGCGTTTGCGTCTTGCATGAAACAGACTGTCGCCTCTGGGTGTTGACTTCAATGTTCACTTTTATATTTACACACGCTCTATCTCTGATGTTGTGCACTTTATCCCATAAATATAGCACACCTTAAGACTATATTTCTTCATATATATATATATATATATATATATATAAATATATGTGTGTATGTATGTGTGTATATGTGTGTGTAATGTATAGACACATACAAACACACACACACACACATATATATATATATATATATATATATATATATATATATATATAAAAAAAATATACTGAAAAAACAAAAAAAATCTTAATATGCGATTATGCTGTTTTAATGTTTAATGTCAACGTCGGACGTTTCGGTCTAATAGACCATCTTCAGGAC